ATTGGATCTCACTTCTGCTCCTTAATTAAGAGGTGGGAAATCTGAGGAAATGGCAGACTGTTCAAACAGGCCATTTATTTTCTTTTTATGGAAAGAGTTTTTAATGTTCTTACACATTTTTTATTGTATCGGAAGGTGAGCACCGGACATAGTCAATTTAATTTGTTCCTCACGACGCCTTTGGAAAACAGCCTCCTAAAATCCATGAGGCGGACATCTTAGCTGTTAAATATGAAAACTGCTCTTCCTCATTTTCAGCTGCTTAAACCCTCCGCACGCCATCGCAAAATGAACTTTAAAGTGCATTAAGGAGGAATAGGGGCCCCTCTTTATATTACACTCCCGTATTTCCGATTAAAATGATCATCATTTTCATGGAGCCTGTTCTCTTGGTCAACCTATTCTCCAAAGCACCTGAGGGTGGAACACATTCTGGTCACCATGATATAAATCCTCCCCCCCCCCAAAAAAAAGATGTTGAGACCCTAGAAAGAGTGGAGACAAGAGCAACAAAGATGATAAGATGCCTAGAAGATAAAGCTACGTTGAACGATTTAGGGAACTAGTTATGTCTAGGCTAACAAAGAGAAGGATTAAGGGTGATGTGATAGCTCTCTTCCAACCTTTGAAGGACTGTCAGAGGGAAGAGGAGGTCAACCTATTGTCCAAAGCTGGACAAGAATAGAGGAGTAGCACTCTTTACAAAGGTGCTTCCATGTCACCAAACTTCAGGAGATTTTACTCCCTCCCAAATACTAGAGAATGAACAAGGAGTGTTTTTATGTCTGTTCTTCAAAGCCACTGCTGTCCTGCCATCAGTTGAGACACTCTAGGTCATGGGTGTAAAACTCAAGGCCCGGGGGCCAGACCCGGCCCACGGGATGCTTGGATGTGGATCGCAGGGCCACCCTAGAACCACTGAAGGACCAGCCTGCGGTTCCACTGCCAGGGAAAGCAGAAGGGCATGCAGCCCTCACAGGCTCCGTTTTCACTGGCAGAGCATTGCAGGAGGCCATCGCAGCCGAAAGGGAACTCGGGAGGCTGTTTTCTCTGGAAGAGCCCTCGAGCCACCACAGGCGCCCCCGACATGAGTGACATCGAGCTGGCCATGCCCACCCTGGCCACACCCACTCCGGTCCCCCAAGGTCAAAGGCGACCCTGATGGGACCCTCAATGAAATCGAGTTTGATCTAGTTTTTTTACAGTGGCAGGAAAGGAAGCTTATTTATTTACCGGTTGGCGTGTCTTCCACATCACTTAACATTCTACTTATTTTCACCAGCCTTGATGTGAAAATAGATGTTATTGTTATTTATCCCATTTTACCATTGTACAAAGCTTTAGAAAGCACATGTTGTTGTTGTTAGTTGCGAAGTTGCGTCCGACGCATCCATGGATAACGTTCCTCCAGGCCTTCCTGTCCTCTACCATCTTTCTATTCTATTCTATTCTATTCTATTCTATTCTATTCTATTCTATTCT